GATTCCAATTTTATATTCAAACACAACAAATGTGTTTTGAATAAAATGTTTTGAGGAAAATTTTTGAAGTAATTTTCACATGCATGAAATGTGCCAACTTCATGAAGTTACAATTTTCATCATCCAAAAACAGTCAGGGGCAGAGCACAATTCACTACCACACTCATAGCTTCATTCCATTTTTCCTAAGAGTGTTTGTTGTATCCCCAATGCCGTCTGCAGAACATCAGTGATGCCTAGTGACCTTGAAATTTGTTTACAGTATAATTTCTAAAGCAGAAAGTTTGTGGGATTGGAATAAAATTGGACTATAATAAGAAAGCAATGATGATCATATCACTCAAAGAATGAGACTATTTAGTTTTCTAACTTTTGTGGAGAAATCTCAAAGTTGAAAAAGTAATTTCACAAGATGTTTTAATACACTCAGAAGACGCAAAGAAAAAGAGGGCACCGGAACTTTCTGTGAGATTTGTGTCTTCAGAAAAAAATTAGCTAAAATGACTCCGTCAAGGTTTTCTGAACAAGAAGGCAGAGAACTACATGGAAGAAAGAGTAGGTGGTAAATGAGCATTTATTTAAAGGCCCAGAAGACACTAACAGTGTATCTATGTTTTAATGAACAACCTCAACATCCCTGTGTGAACTTCACAAAAAAGCCATGACATTCTATCCTGAAAATAATTACTTCCTTTTATTTTAAATATCTTCAAAAGGTGAAAAAAACTAACAATATAATCTATAATTATATATGTATGAACATGATATAAAAATGAAGTGAAAATAAATTCTTACTTGAATCCTTCTTATATGAATATGCATTACAAAGTAATTGTTATTTCAAAAATTGATTATCATTATTAATTTTCCCAAAGAAAACGCCTGAACACTAGCATACTTTTCCCTCTTTCAGGTGATTTTGGTAATGTCTTATCATCAATTACTAATGTATTATTCTCTTACCCTTCACTACTTAGCTTCCTCAACTTCAGGCCTATATTCTACTTCATTCCATTTGCACTCTATTTTAAAGTTTGAAAATAATTTCAAATCTCACAGTTACTTAAAACATTATTTCCACTCCTGTAGCTTTGGTTAACAAATGCACAATTGTCCAGCTAATGCCCAGATGTTATTGTTCTAATAAATATTTTCTATAAGTATTTGATCACATTTATTGTTTGCTGACTTCATTTGCATCTCACCACTGGGCTATATTTTTGCTAAGTGTCAGTTCTCCATACTAAACGTTAAGTTCCACATAGGAGAAGATTGCGAAGTTTTCCCAAGCATATAACACTGTACAAGGCGTCTAATGGGCTCTCAATCAACACTTGCTGAATGAAAGAATAGATTAATGAACTTTGCTTGTCCAGACTCAATGCACTCACATCCCATTATGTCAAAATTCAAGAAGTTAACCTACTGATACATATCAGCAATGTTTACCTCTTATGTGATTTTCCTTCAGTAGTTTTCTAAAGAACATCTATTGAAACTACTATTAATATTCAAATTGTATTCTGTCCAACTTCCCTACTGTTAATAACATCTAACATTTTCCTATTCTCCAGACTTAAAATATTTAAATTACTGTTGATACCTATTATTTCTTCAACTAGCTAGTCAGCCAGAAAGTGCTCCAATCATCTATTCACCCACAGTCAAATCTACCGTCCAATTAGGTCCTCAGTGACTGAAACCTAGAACACTGCACGTTGGCTTTATGGCTCATTTCTGTTTAAGAACAGTTACCACGTATTGAGTACGTGTGGTTACGTGTTCCCAGTCACAGCAGCCTCATGTACAATAGGATGAAACACTGCCTGGCCTTACACTATCTTCACAATTGTTCTGTGTGAATCCATTGTTCTAGCCATTGTGTAAATCCATTCTCATTAAGGGTCTTCCTCTTTACACTGATTCTCTACTTAACCAAGCATGTTAACCTTTGTCCAAAGACTGGTCACCCCTGATAGCATTTTCTATACCAAACAGTATTAAATGCTTTACATTCTCTCATTAATTCTTAGAACCTGTATGAAATTTTTTCTCACTGTACTCAGAGATTAAATCACTAAGGTTGAAGAGGTAGCAAGAGGTAAAATCACCCATGTCAGTGATGTCCTCCACTATGAATGATGCTATTCGCATAGTACATCTTTGACCCCAAACCCAAAGGAACTTCCTATTGTGCTGTATGTACAAATATCTTGGCATTTAAATATCTTGGCACCATGGTATTTTATTAATGTACCTTTTTTTCTGAGAAACTAAAATATTCATCAACAGAGCGAGCTTCTGAAATTGTCAAAGATGTCATTTTCCTTGCCAGGAGTGTGGCAAGACATGACTTCTGCTCAATAGCTCTGTCAGAGAGAAATTCCCTTACATGGATCACCATTCTTCTTGCATTCTTTCATTCTTTGGCTTCAATGGAATCAAGCCATAACAGTGAAAAGGAATGAGCCTGAGCCTGAACTGACTCTGGTCTTGGCTCCAATTCTAGCCCCACCCATGTGTGATCATGTGCAACGATAGAGGTAACATCTCTCGTCTCTTTTTCAGTATTACCTACTTTACAGGCACCTTTGTTAGGATTAAATAGAAAATATGAAGAACGGGCAAACCCTCAATAAATGTTAACTGCCCTAGCAGTATCATAATTATCATCACTCTTTTTCTTTGGGTGTTACTTCATTTGTTGACTTCCCTTTCTTCTTAACCAGGATTTCAATCTGCCATCAGCTGCAGCTTCACGGATGCTCTCACCGAAGAGTTATTTCTCTCTATTTCTGAGTCCATTCTTTCCCACAAAATCAGACCCACATTCTAGATGCTTGCTGAATTGCTTTGCGAAATTAAAATGTCCAAATGTATGGGTCCAATTTTCTTCCCCAAAACCCAGGTGGTGTACTGGGTTATGCATTTTTAGCTGCTAACCACAAGGGTAGCAGTTCCAGACTGTGGGGGAAAGATGAGGTTTCTAACCCTGAAAAGAGTGACAGTCTTGGAGCCCCACAGGGACAGTCCTACCCTGTTCTATAGGGTTGAGTCAGACTCCACTCAATGGCAGTGAGGTTTGTTTTGGGTTATTTCCTTCCCACTCTCCAACCAGTTTCTTATCTTGATAACCATATTTCTAATACTGGAGGCGCTCTTTCCAAGTCACTAACACTTCAGGCCTTGGCTTCATCGTCCATGCTTTACTTCTCCAGTTAGGTGTACTGTGTTACAGAACTGACCAAAAGCAAGTTTCTTACAACAATCTCCTTGTCATATTTCCACTGCTAACAATTCAGATCCTCTGAACTTGTGATGGTCTCATGGCCTTCCTCTAATTATACAAACATAACCTATGATTTCCCACCTCACTGCTGTGTTACATATTTTATTCTTCAGATCAAAACACTTTCCCCAATATTTTAACACAACCAACTCCATTAAAATCCACTCAATCATCTCCATATGTCTATCACAAATACTTCTTTTACAACACCTTTCTTAAGTCCTATTAAATAGATGTGTTTTTCACTTCTGTGCATTGTGTGATTCTTTACAGAACCCTTACAATTAGGCAGTAAATGCTGTATTTATAATTGTTTTTTTTTTCTTATTATTGAATCATAAGCTCTCTGAGGTAAAGGTGTGCATCTTACTTATATTTGTACATTGATGGAAGTGACCTGAACACAGAAGGTCGGCTGTAGTAAACGTGGATTTTTTGTTTGTTTGTTTTTAGTTATCCATCCTTAGTCTTGTGGACATTTCTATTATTACCTTGTATAATATGATTTATAGTTAGTCATATATAGCTACCTGAATTCACATGTAATGGTTACAATTTCAACAGGTCTATAAGCTATTGAGGTAGTTAGTTTATTGTGCCAACCTGGCCAATAAACACATGTGGGGTTAACTGAAGGGTGGAGGGATAAATGGCTCAGTGAGTTCTCAGGACTCTTGCTTTCTGATGGTCGCACCAGGGTGCAGCTGTCTTAGCCAGTTTCCTGCTTCAGCTGGCAAGGCATCCCCAAGAGGCCACATGAACCTATCCCGACAGAGCCCTGGGTGCTGGAGCACCTGTGTGGAGACCCCTGCCAGCACTGAGATGCTTACACATTCACTAACTCGGCTTTCTTCCTGCAGTCAGTATCATAGCGTGTGCTTTGTGAGATGGAGGAGGACTTTGTGGATTGGCGTCGGACATATGGGTTAATGCTGGACTTGTGGGTTTGGACAGCACTGGGTTGGGATGTTTTCTTGATATGCACTTAACCTTTATATAAAACTCTCTCTTGTACATCAGTTTCTGTGGATTTGTTTCTCTAAAGTACCCAGACTAATACATTAATCTTTAAGTTTTAAATCATGTGATTAGACTCAGAATATAATCCTCCCTCATATTTTATTTGCTCATTATCATTTGAAGATATTTTCCTGAAATTAGACTTGATTTCTCATGAAAAATCATAGCATTGTATACCTAGTATCAGAAGGAAAAAAAAGTATAATGCAAGAAAAATTCAGAAAACTACTATGGAGGTGCTTTGATTCTTTAAAATTTTTTTTAAATTTCCAGTGAACCCACGTCTGAATTGAATAAATTTCTATGCCTTCTTAAAAGAAACCTTTAAGACATGTTCTTAAATTTGAGGTTAAGATACTCTTTTAAAAAGTTATCTTTGTCTCTCCCAACCACCACAGGGCACTTCCAGTGGTAGGAAAGAAAATTAATACTATGGAGGACAATTGAAAATAAAAGATATTCCCAATTTCTTCTAGGTAAGAGGATAATTAGAACTTAAAAAGAACCTAAACTTGTACTGATTTTAGGAAGAAAAGGAAGATTATATATATATATATATATATATATGTATGGAAAGAGAGAGGGAAAAATCTCCTAATCTCAAAAATAGCACTGGAGACTCAAATGCAAACATTTGAACATAACAGAAGACATAAAAAGAATAATCCATCAACAGCTATAAACCACATACCTGTTTAAGTCTGGCAAGTTCTTTCAAAGCTCTTCCCCATTGCTGCTTGTAATGCAGCTTGGACTTAGTTGAAGATTCCAACTTTCTTTCAAGTTCAACCTAACAGTGATTAAAATCATATCAAGTGAAACACTATACCACTGTGTACAATCACTGAAAGATAATATATACAAAGAGTCTGGCTTAAGAAAAGAGTTTATGTAGTGTAACATACGACATCATCTAAAACTGTTATACAACTTACTATAAATATTATGGCACATGAACATTTTCTTGTTTAAAATATAGTCTTATTTTTATTGCTCAACAGCCTATACTAAAAAGAACTGAGTAAGTCGTAACCTCTAGACAATTACTATAAATGTATTTAAAACATGTATATTGTATAAAGTTTATCCACAGGGTAAAAAATACAATCATTTTTCTATAAAAAGCAGTCTGTTAGCATTCCAGTTAAGCTGGCACTTTGAATGTTAGCAATCAAATTATTCTTCTTGGAAACCTTCATTTTATGGAATTCATTTTATATATAATGAAGAGAGCTAGTAGAGACATTTTTGTAACTATACTCTGGCAAAAACACTGAAGAACACTGAAAAACAGAAAGAAGTTCACTAAGAAAGAAAAGTCAAAAAATATTTTCAGAATGTTGAAATAAACCCAAAAGTAACAAAAAACAATGTTCTTTAATAATATACACAGCACTTTCACTTTCTATTTTCCCTCAAATATATAAAGAAAAGCACTCGCATGATTCAATTTTTAAAATATGGTTATTTATAGTTGCAGCAGGCAGTCTGTTGCGCATGAATTGAAGCCAACTTGGCTATGTTTTTTTACAATGTACTCTCAGTGTTTTCAGATCAAGTACCAAACAAATTCATGCAGTCAATAGACAGTTTTACTAGTTAAGTGATAATGTAATAATCGGCCAGAATAACAATAAAAATACTGTTACTCTCAACTAGTCTAAATTTTATGTCAAGTCTAATTACCACCACCACCTCCAACATACACAATTCCTAACGTTTCACTAGAAAATAAAAAAAACGGCACTCAAATGCAGCAAATGCACATCAAACTAAAATGAAAGGAGAAGCAGGTTGCCAGATTCACCTGAGGTCAGAAAATCCTCTGCAATCATATATAACTACATGGAGCCCAGGGCTTTCCTGCTTACAGATCCCGAGTGCTTGGATTTAAATGTGTTAACATTTCACAACTACGTTCAAGCACACTTAAATGGAATAATACTGCTAGATTATTGAAAGTGATTTCTCCCACTTATGCTCCAATGACTTATACACATTACTTGGTAATATACCAACAGGGCATACCTCTGAGGATTAGCAAACATCTTCTTGGAGGAAAGAGTAGTACCAATCACAAAAGAGACTGTGCCATGGGTCTGACGAAGGTCTACAAACCTGAAGGGGCCCAAGGATGAGGACTAGGGCAAGGGTTAATCTAAAGCAGTATTTCCCAAAGAGTGCGATACCACCCCCTAGAGGGTGTTGGGGTGATTTGGGGGGTGGGGGCTGCAAAAGTAGATTACTACACTTTATCCTAGATTATGGGTTATAATACAAGTTTTTAATTGCCAAGGAGGGACTGGGTAATTTTATCGCTGAAAAGAGCGAGGTAGGCTACCTAAGTTTTTTGGGGGGAGTGGGGGGGTCTCTTTATATCTAATGGGCCAACTCCATCAGGGTAGGTTTTACCATAATTATTAAAATAATCTCATACATACTATTTTTTTCATTCTTAACAAATGAAGAAACAAATGAAGGTACACATTTGAGACACAATCTCATTCTTCTGATTTATTTCTAAAACCAAATCAATGGGTCTTCATTTTCCTAAGGCTACAGATGCTTCTGAGATTCTACAGAAATTTATGAGCCCAATTCTCAGAAAAATTCTCACAGCCCAAATTTTCATATAATTTCAGGACATTAAAAGACCTCAAGTTAAGAGTCCTTATTTTAAGTAGATTTGGGAATTCTTTAAACCAATGCATTTATATTTTTGTTTAAGGTATTCTATGACTGAATTAATATATGGTAACGCCAAAGGATAGACCCCCAGAAGGGAAAACTTAGCTCCGGACTTGAGTCACTTACGAAGCCAGTGAAAGCAGGAAGCACACTCGTGTTTACGGGTTCTCAATTTTTATCAGGAATATGCCCAGGAGTCTGGGTCTCTATTAGAAACATGGCATTTGTCTTGGATTCTAACTTCATGGACCATCTCTCACCAAAAAAACTAGATATTCTTCCTTAAAAGATTTCTCAACTTTATTCCTTTATAGTCCTACCAGCACTTAATTAGCCCAGGCCGTTCTCATCTCTCCTTGATTATAAGAAGTTCTCTTGTCTCTCCAACCTCAAATTTACTCCCCCTATTTCAAAGCTTGCATATGAAGAGAAGATGAAGAGAATTCTCTCTCTGCTCAACAGTCTACTATAGCTATTAGTTGTCTACAATATTGAACCCACCTTCCTGCCTACGTTTCAAGGCACACTACAATTTCATTTCCATCAATAGTCTATAAGAAACACTCTACTTCAACCAGGTTTGTTTCCTTAAGCGCCATGAGACTCCTTACCCAAGTTGTTTCCTGAGCCTGTCATTTTTCCTTCTCTAATTACCTATACCTTAAAGGTAAATTGTGCCTAATTCTACCTCTACATGAAGCTGTCTTAAAACTATTATATTCTGAAAACCAAATGATTTCTCCTCTTTGAATTAATTGCAAAGGACTTGCTATCACATACCTTGGTACTTCAGGATAGATGCTTGTTTGTAGCTGAGTCACATCTCTAATTACAAACTAAGTGTGAGGTCCCCAAAAGACAATGTACTTTTCTCTTCCCTCATCTTTCCCATTGCCCTAAAATAGGGTTGATAATTTCCAAATGTTCTTTAATGCATTCATTTTTTATTTAAAAATTTCCATTTTTTGAAATTCTATTATCATCCCTTTCAAACTCTGTATGCCCACTAAATTATAATGCTTCCCCCATAATTCATTTTTTATTTTAATTTTTTCAAGCCATATAAAAGACATTTTTGAAATAAAAATAATCATAATCAGTTATTCATATCTTACATAATAAAAAGAATAAAAATATATTCAATAAATTGTATCTTAATGATAATTTACTTTTAGGCCATTTTATTGAAAATGGAAATATTTCCGTTATCCTTCAGAATATGGGTATTACAAATAACATTCTCAATCAGACAAAACCAGAACTTTTACAGTACATTAGATATTTGTTTTAACTTAGGTCTTTCCTCTAGTGCTTTTATTTGTTACCACTTACAAAATAATATTCTGCCCTCTTCTGGCTTCAAGAAGATTTACAAAGAATTTCTTAAGAAATCTGAGAAACTTTGTTACACCAGGTACTTAAACATGCTGGATGAATTCATTAAGGCTAGTAATGAGGCAGCTGAATTACACATGCCTTTCCAATAAGTATGACATTTGACTGAAGACTTTTATTATTTTAAAAGAAATTCTAAAAATCACTTAGAATTTAGTAACTTTGGAGATGAATGAGCTAATGCTTGTTATAATTTTGGTATCTGGTCTCTAATTTCCCCCCAAGTAAAATTAAATATTATTTCACAGATGAGATAGTCTAAATAGTACTTCAAATACTTCTAGTGGGTACTGCAGAGTTCATACTTAGAAACACAGACGTGCTTTCAGAATTGGTTTTATTAAAGGAGGGGCGAGAAAACATCCCACTGGACATAAGCACACTGGGAGAAAACTGAAAAAGTGGCTAAAAAAAAAAATTCTGAATAGACTATCTAAATATGCATTAAGTAAGACCAATAAGATGCTGTGATTAAGTAGATATAGGGGGGTGAGGGAGGGAGCCAAAGATAACTGGGCAGTTAGACTGCAAAACTAAAGGGGTCTTGGCACTAAAGACATGGAAACATGCTACTCTATGATCTTCAAGAAAGGGTGTTAAGTTAGGTGGAAAGATGGATACAGTGTTCAGTTGGGCCTTCCAGAACACACTTTCTACATGCTAAGTGAATGATGTTCAAAACTCTCTAACTGTATTCCACGACTAATTTAAACTTTATTTTACTTAACATCTATGTTATGCTTATAATGCCCCAGGTTTTGTGCTAAATAAGCACTTTACAAACATAGAGTCATTAGGTCATTTTACCAGCTTTTTTATCCTCATTGAGGAGATTCTGAAAATAGGAGCAGAGAAGTAAAAGTAATTTGATCAAGATGACATAGATTCTGAGTGGACCAGCCAGGATTCGAATCAAGATGATCTGATTCCAAAGGTCTTGCTGTTAACGATGGTCATTCTACAACTCCAAGTATAAGTCTAAACTTCTTGCCATAGCTTACCAAAAACCCCAAAAGCCCACCGTTAAGTCAATGACTACTCACTGACCCTTTAAGAGAGGTTAGAACTGCCTCATTGGGTTTCCAGGGCTGTAAATCTTTGTGGAAACAGACTGCCATGTTTCTCCCAGGGAGCAGTGCATGGGTTCAACTGCAATGGAGGCCTTCATTTTAACCTCTGCATCACCAAGGCTCTTATTTTCTTATACTTAGCACAAGTAAAAATCGTCTTACTCATGTATTTGTTAACTCACTCCTCTAAAATGAGAAGCTGTTTGTCTTAAGAACATAGAGGGCACTCAATAAACAGCTGATAAAGTGCTTAACAGTAGACAGCCATCCCCAAACTGTTTTGCACCAAAAGGAGACATGCACAAACAACATACTCTTCACCTGTAAACTCCTGCTGAAAGAATCATCAAAAATTTGAAGCAGCAAAGAGCATACTGTTTCATCTCCAACAACCAATGTTTATTTCTACAAGGTACAGGATGGGGTGAATAATTTGAAACTTAGACCAGTGAACACATAGCTGCTCTGAATGAAGTGGAAGGATCTACTGACAACTCTGCCACTCCTATACCTCATAGTGGACACATTGTCTGAAAAGGCCACTCTTAACATATTCCCATTTACACTGTTAGTGCTAGGTTCACATTTTCCCACATTATTTAGCTCATTTCACATAATGCCCTATATTTAAGGTTCTTAACATCTTCAATAAGGAGCTTTGGTGCTACTGCGGAACATCGGCCTGCTAACTTCAAGGTCAGAGGTTCAAACCCATCAGCTGCTCCATAGGAAAGAGATGAGGCTTAAGAGTTATAGTTTCAGAAACCCTCTATAACTTTATGATAAGTTGGAATCAACTTGATAGCATTAGCAGTGGGTTTAGTTCTGGCATTATACTTCAGCAACCAATAAGTAGATGTGTTCATTCCTCTAATCCGCTATCACATAGCCAAACCTTTTCCAAGATCTTAAAACCCTAGTTCCTCCCTTCATCATCGAACTTGAACCCTCTATTTGACTCACCCTCGGGGACAATGATCTTTCGGGTTCTTTGACCTTTTTCTGATCCATTTAATAAATCAGATGTTGAATATTCTAAATACTGGTCTCTAGGATAATACAGTTATATGGCCTTCAGTATACTTATAAATCCACATTCAAGTCCTCAACTTTACCTCCACTTCTAAATCTAGAGGATACAGAGATTAAGGATAGCGACAGTGAAAATATTCACAATGACTACACAGCACTGAGTTCCATCACATGACACCAGAATTAAAGGACACAATATCCAAAGACAGGGCACAATATCCAGCTGTGACGGCACCACCAACAACATCCTAGCTAGATGGTTTTCAGACAGCATATTTTCTGGCTCTATATTGCTTCCTTCTCTAGCTGCTGCCTATTTTCTGAAACTAGTTCTTCAGCTTTCCTGATTGTTTTGTGAAATCCTTAATTAGTTTCTGTTGCTTGCAAATAAGAACTTGTCTAATGAGTGTAAGCAATAACTGATATGAAGCCCAGATGCTTAAACCCAGGGCTTTTTACTGAGAACCCACAAGTAGTGAGCTCTGCAGGAAAAAGATGTGGTCATCGTATTACTTAGGGATTAATTACAGCACCAGAAAACTGATGGGGCTGTTCTAGTCTGTCCTCTAAGGTCAAGATGAATCGGCATCAACTTAACGACCACAAAGTCTTTGGTGTTTATATCTAACATAGGCCAAGGCACTTAAGTGCTGGCAATGCCAAGTGTCTTGAATTGTTTAACATTGTTCTTTCAGATCAGTCTCTACTGGAACATTATTGCATTTTGGATACAAACATTATTTATTGATCTTTTAAACTGATCACTGGGAATAGTTGAGCAGTCATAAAAAGACACGGTACCTTTTCCAAGGTGAGAAGACTTATTTCAGACTGGAGACGCATTTCTGGTTTGTTGCTCTGCTGGTCCTTGAAATGTTGGAACTCTTTTTCCAAATTCTTATACTTATTTTCAGCTTCATTAAGCTGCATTTAAAAGGAAAATGGTAGCATTTATAGTCGTATAAATACTTTTTGGTTTTTTTAAACAAAAAGTGCAAGTTTAATGTTACAGATATTAATTCCACTGCCTTTTTATTCTAAAATGTGTTCATATCAGAAAATGGGGAGGGGGCAGTTTATTAACAATATACAAAGCATTTTTACTGGTAAAAATTTAATTACTAGTATTATGAAAATGTTTTTGTTACACTGTAGCTGGCAAACCCAGAGAGGAATACTGATCCTATCTTTACATTTTTGAAGATGTCACATTCTAAGAGAAGATTGAGCATTACAGATATGCCAACTTGTTTGTTATCTATAAAAATAATTATAATTATTCTTATAATTTGATACTGTATAAATGTCATAAATTCAAATATTGTGATTTGGTCCAGTATCTTCATATTTGTATATAAGAAAATTGAGGGTCAAAGGCAAAATAATTGAGGCAATGTCAAATAACTAGTAGGATATGTATTAATAAAAACATACAGGGAACAGGCAGCAGACACCAAAGAACAAAAACCATCATTGTGTGACCACCTTCC